CCCCCAGCCCACAACCCCCTCCGAACACCTCAATCTTATCCAAAACAACATCATAACTCTAAAAATGAATTTTTATAAAATAAATCATATTTTAATGAATATAAACAAGTAAATCGCAATAAAAATGTAAAAAAATTACTTGGAATTGAAGAAATCGGCTCTAGAACGAAGTTTTCCCTTGATTTTTCACTGCGCCGCTTGGGCTCTATCTCTATCCGCTATGCAGATTTAGGGGAAGAAGATTGATATTTGTTTTAAACTAATCGCTATGCGACGGAAATTTTCCGTCACAAGTTCTGTCGGAGAGCCTAACAAATACTATGGGCATAAACCAAAATGATGTAGTTTTAGGAAAAAAAGGATTTTTTTTTTAAATCATCTTTGCGACGGAAATTTTCTGTTGCAATGGAAATTAATTAAATTAAAATAAATAATTACGTCTACAACGAACCATTTCGTTGCACATGACGTCGCAGATTATTGGCGCCAAGCCTCCCACCCAAAAATTTGGGAGGATTTATCAATCCGTCGCAAATTCTATCACCGAAATTTACGGTGACAACCTCCGTCGCAAATTTGGTCACCGTGTACAACAAAAGTAAACCTGTCGCAAATATTCATCGCAATTTTGCGATTTTCTTGTAGTGATATATCAGATCTATCGAAAGTTATGCGAAGATAGGAGGAAGCGTGACCCTTAGGAGCCTGACCCGTCCTGTCTCCAGGCTTAACAACGAGGTTAAGGGCACAGGGATCGGGGTTGTCATGACGGGGCTCGTTCCTAGGGACGTCATGACGAAAGATAACATCGAGAATCCTCTGGGTTTAGAATAGTGCCCTCGGGCAGGCTAAGGTCGTGGTTGATGTATGTCTCACTCATATGATTGGTCAACATGGTGTTTTAGTAAGTAAATATCTTAACTTCCAGGACCAGTCGGTGCCAATTTGATGGTGTAAATTAACTCAGTCGGTTCACTATGCTGGACCTGGTCAAGTTATTGAACTAGACGAGTCAATTTAAACACAATACATTTAAAAGATTGTATGTGGGAACACTTGTAGCCCGGTTATTATATTCAATTTTGGTATAAGTACAACTCAAAATAAGTGTTCTTTTCTCTCTCTAGGATCACATCCCGTTCCTATAGAGGTACACGAGTTTTTATAGGAGACAAAAGGGAAACATTCCAATCTACTATAACCATTCTTTAGTTAAACCTAATGTAGTAATTTCTCTGTCACTTCTACTGTAGCCATTCATATGTTAGGTTGGGCTGTGTGCCATAGAGTAAGCGGCGCAGGGCCCAATCTTTTCACATTACTCTCCACTTGCTATGTCAGACTCAAGCGGATCTGCAACCGGCCTCTTAACTTTTGATTCGTAGTCTGCCTTTGGCTTCCTCGCTATTTCTCGAGTTCGTCGCCAGCCCACAACCATGTTGACCGGTCTGAGCAAACCTCTACTACAAAGTCTGCCCCATCCGATCTGCCACCCACAGACACACACACACACACACAGAGACTAAATTCACATTAATATTGGTTAAAAAATCACACTAGTATTCAATATATTATTTTCAATTTTTGTAATCAAATTGTTTTTATTTTGGAAGTCAAATAAAGCCTTTTTAAAGCATAAGAAATTACTCAATACGGAGTATATATTTACTTTAGAGGTCTGAATCTACATATTTTCGTCGAATCTATTTAATTACAGAAGAAAAGTAATTTATATTTTGAAATACTTTACCTTGTACAATGCTAAATTTAAAATTCTATTTCATAAAAAAATCATAAAGTCAAAATGTGATTTTGGGAGGGAAAGAAACTGTTTTTCATTTTAAAAATTGCAACCATTGCAAGTAGTTGAACAAATTGGGAGCCCTAATTTTGAAAATGCTGAAACTAACGTTTCAAAATTCAAAAATCTCAAACACGCGCTCTTAAACAATTCCTCATATTCCTTATGTGGTTTCTCATTTCCCGTTTAGCATTCCGATCCAATACTCTATTTTGCAGAATTTCAAACTTGCTCAATCTCCATTCCTCTCCCCCAATCGCAAACTGTAATGGGTGCCAATCATAGTCGTGCAGATCTGGAGCGTTTGGACTCCGAATCCGAGTCCGAAACGGAGTCCGATTCCCAGACCCAGGACAGCCAACCGGACGGCGGCGAAACATTCGAAGACGCCAGCACTCCCACCTCCTTCCGACCGGAGACGCCGGACTCGGCTTTGGACGAAATTGATGCAAAGCTCAAAGCACTGAAGCTGAAGTACAATGTCGGGTCGCCACACAACCCGGCTCCGAAGAACGCAGTTAAGCTTTACCTTTACGTTGGCTGCAACACTCCCAAGCCTAAGTGGGTCGTTTCCGAAAAGCTGACCACATATTCCTTCTTCAAAGGCCCAGTCGAAGAGGAAGATGATGGAAATGAAGAGTGCGAGGAAAACTTCTGGTGGATTTTGAAGATAGGACCCAAGATCCGTGTCAAGGTGGATGAGAATATGCAGCTGAGAGCTCATAAAGACCAGAAACGAATCGATTTTGTTGCAAACGGGGTATGGGCCGCAAAGTTCTTCGACGAACAAGAGTATGCATCTTTCATTGACAATTACAAGGACTGTCTTTTTGGGAACATGTATGGCTACGAAGCAAATGATGCTAACAAGGTCAAAGTATACGGGAAGGACTTCATCGGGTGGGCCAAGCCAGAAATAGCGGATGATTCTATGTGGGAGGATGCATCTGAGAGCTTCAAGACACCAATGAAGGAGCTTAAGCAGGAGTTCGAAGAGTCAGCTACTGCCAATTGTGGAGAAATCCAAAGCTTGGCATTGGGGGCTTTGGACAATAGTTTTCTGATAAGCGATTCGGGTGTTCAAGTGTTGCGGAATTACAGTAATGGGATTCAAGGAAAAGGTCTGTATGTGAATTTTGACAGGGAAAGGTTTAGTTCTGCTCATCAGACTCCCAGGAAAGCTTTGCTTATGAGAGCTGAAACTAACATGCTACTCATGAGCCCTGTCAATGGGGACAGGCCTCATTCGAAGGGTTTACACCAGCTTGACATTGAGACAGGCAAAATTGTGAGTGAGTGGAAGTTTGAGAAAGATGGTGCTGACATTTCCATGAGGGATATCACCAATGATAGCAAAGGAGCTCAGATGGATCCTTCTGGGTCTACGTTTTTAGGACTGGATGATAACCGGCTGTGTAGGTGGGATATGCGTGACCGACACGGTATTGTTCAGGATTCCACCCCTGTGTTGAATTGGACTCAAGGGCATCAGTTCTCTAGGGGCACTAATTTCCAGTGCATTGCCACAACTGGGGATGGGTCGATTGTTGTTGGGTCACTTGATGGCAAAATCAGGCTGTATTCAAGCAGTTCCATGAGACAGGCAAAGACGGCATTTCCAGGTCTTGGCTCACCCATTACCCATGTTGATGTTACCTATGATGGGAAGTGGATATTGGGTACCACTGAAAATTACTTGATTTTGATATGTACCCTTTTTGAGGACAAGGATGGGAGGATGAAGACTGGGTTTTCTGGTCGTATGGGTAATAGGATATCTGCTCCCAGGTTGTTAAAGCTCACTCCTTTGGACTCTCATATTGCCGGAGCAAACAATAAGCTCCGTAAAGCACAGTTTTCGTGGGTATGTTTGTTTTTGATCTGCATATTCTTATTAATTATGTATTTAATTCTTCATATCTGTTTATTTACTGCACAATTGGATGAAATTCACTGATTTTTGCCCATGGTAAATAGGATGAGAGTTTTAAGAATCCATCATTTTGTTACCCTATTTTCTATGGTTTCTGGGAATGCAGATAATGTGAAATAGGTAATGGGGAGGCAGAAATAAGACATCAAGTTTCTTTCCATACCATTATATGAGAGATGGCCAATATATGACAAATTTTGCAAGGAATGAAATTTCTACCTATGGCTTAGTTTAAGTTCCTTCTAAAATTTTGTTGTTTGATAACATAAATAATAGCTTAAGTTAATACTTTTTAGAGCCATCTAAACCCCAGAAAACAAAATTAAGTAGCCTATTATTCATAAGTTAAGCACTTAAACGTTTCTGGTTTGCACCTCGAATCTGATGAATCAAAAAATTATTCTTATATTTGCAAACACTCACTTTTACTATTACTTAAATAATCAATTTTTTATTCCACAAGAGCAAAATCCTAAACTTAATTTCTAACAAACTACTCCCTGTGTGTGGCTTTTCCATTTCTGCATATTATTAGTATGTGTAATTCAGGAGCAATATGTTAACATAATGTCTGCAGTTTCGACTGTGCATTCAGGAGCAATATGTTAATATAGTGTGTGTAGTTTCTACAGTGCATTTGGTAGCCTAAATTGGCTGATACTGCATCAAAAGAGTTAATTAAAATCTACTGAATTAATAGTCTACTTTCTTGGTTTGGTAGCCTAAATTGGCTAATCCCATGAGTTTGGAATGTTAAATAAGTCCTTCAAATTAATTTGTTACTTTTTTATGTCAACAACGCTTTTAACTTATGCTTAGCATAACTTAGTACAGAAAGTGGATCCCATACAATAGAAAACTAGAAAAACAATTAAACCAAGACATAAGGATTGGGTGTTAAATAACTTGAAGAAAACAATATCTAAAAAACTTTGTTTTTTTTACTGTACATCCTACATTACTTTTGCTCGTTATCTGCATTGTAGTGTTATTGCGGTCTTAAAGTGTTCATCTTTCTGCATGTGTTATTGATTCCATTTTACGGTGTTATTGCAGTCCTAAAGTGTTCATCTTTCTGGTGAGAAATGTGGTCTTAAAGTGTTCATCTAAAAACAGTCTCTCATCTGCTGACTTTATATCAACATATGTGTTATTGATGCCGTTTTACGGGTGGAGTATTTGTTATTTTTCTCTCTTGATTGCAGTACTTTTTGAGCTATTAAATATTTAAATGAATAAGTAAATTCAGCCTGAGGTATAAAATGTAAGTTTTTTATTATTACTATTATTGTAAATAGGTGACAGAGAATGGGAAACAGGAGCGGCATTTGGTAGCAACCGTGGGAAAGTTCAGTGTGATATGGAATTTTCAACAGGTGAAGGACGGGTCTCACGAATGCTACCAAAACCAGGTTGGCTTGAAGAGTTGTTATTGTTACAAAATTGTTCTAAGAGACGAATCAATCATAGACAGTTGCTTCATGCATGACAAGTTTGCTGTCAGTGACTCGCCTGAAGCACCACTTGTGGTGGCCACGCCCCTCAAAGTCAGTTCCTTCAGTATCTCTTCGTCAGCCACCCGGCGTCTACAGCTATAGAACGTAACAGACCCTGTTTCTTCATTCATGTTTCTTTTTTCTATCCTAAACTGCACAAAATTCCTGTATCTTTTTGGGCTGTTGCTTCACAAGTATTGTGATGTATGAAGCCATCTTAAAAGAGGCTCTTATCTTGCTTATTGATGATGCTGTTGTTGTATTAGCAACTGTTTATTTTGAATCAACTAATTATGTATGCATTTACTGCTTATGTTATTCCAATGCTGCGCAATCAACTTCCTCGTTTAACTAAGTTGTGATTTGCTGTGAAAGTAGAGTATGGTGTGTGTAATTTTCTTTTGATGTGTGATTTTCTTTATATTCATCTACATTTGTGTGAAGACAAATTCTGGTAAATTTCACTGACGGTACTCGAACTTTGAGCGATACATCATTTTTGTACTTAAACTCTATCTATTCTCGTAAAAATACTTGAATTTTGAAAAAATTTAAGATGAAATTAAAGAGATTATTGTAAGAGCACAAAGTTGGTATTATGATATAAACTTTTTCTGCACAGCCAACTAAAAGCATTAATTTATTAATGCATCAGTCAAAAAATAAGGATTGATATTCGGTGGACAAGACCCCATCTAGACTTTCTCATCACTATAAATTCTACATTTAGGTAAGTGGTGAGCCGAGAGATTACCATCCCGCTTTACAAAAGACCAGGCCACAAAATAAAAAAAACTAGAAAAATTCAAAATATTGTCAGATCAATAACAAAGTCAAATGCACATAAGCCCACGCAGGGAAAAGAGAGGGCGTTGAAAATAGTTAAAGAATCCACCTCAAAGGTCACGTTCTTGAAGTCTGGTCTCTTAGCGAGGATTATGCCATATCGGAGGGCTACTGCTTCTGCTACACTCTAGGCCCACTTTGCCTCCCAAAGTCTTTTTCCAGCCACCGCCACCTTGCCTCGGGTATCCCGGAACACCACCCCAGTAGCCACCTTTCCATCCTTGATATACATCAGAGTTTGCCTTCACAGTAGAACCTGAAGGAGCTTTCCACAAGTTCGGGTGTTCATTTAGCCCATTAGCGACTACAACCCTAGGTGTTGGCCTTGAATGGCGTACCTCGTAATCGTTTTGATGTGCCAAATAAGTCTTCAAATGTTACTAACGTTATTTGCAGGAAGAAATCAAACGTCAAACCTCATCTAACTTGATTAGCATCACCGAGATGTACTCCTACGAGTTTAGAAACATTTGTGTAAAGGTAGTGATATAATTAATGAAATACTTATGCCCTTTCACTCAAAATATTATTTCTAAAATGTCAAACATATTCTTAGTTGGGGTTATTTTGAAAAAGAATGCAAAATTCAAGTTCTGGAAAATGTTTGAGGCCTCACGGTACCTGACTACCGTGTACACAGTACCCCAGTACTGAAGGCAGCCAAGTGACCGAACCGTGGTAATCCTTACCACAGGTAGCACGGTATCCTTCTACCGTGGGTACGGTACCTGGGTACTGCCGGTCCAAGGAAAGACATTAAAATACTTGACCGGTCAAGGTTAAATCTCTCGGATGGGAAGCTGAAACGATAGTGGGAATATATCAGTCGATGATAAAAACTTGACTGGTATACTTCGGGTAGTCTACCGGTCAAATCATTCGAATTTCCTCGTTTATGCCCAATCTCCATAAGTCCATCTCATGTAAACCTTACTGATAAGGTCTCTATTGTTTGGAAGTGTCGGCATGAAAGAATCAAAGGAAGGTTGGATTGTAGAGGCCAAATTCAACGAAAGATCATTGAAGATATTCACGCAATCAGTCCAACACGTTACGTGACAAAGGAGTCACCTTCCTAGCTAAATGACAAGGGAATAAAGAAATGAAACAAGCCACTAAAAGATAGAAGCCATCACCTCGCACCACCCAGGAACGTGGCCTGACTTGGATGCATGACGCCTTGTCCCCCTTTGTTTACTATAAATAACTGTATAACCCTCAGAGGAAGGGATCTGATTTCTTCTCACTAAAATCCTTGTGTAAAAGCTCCCATGCATTCTACTATATTAAAATAACAATTGGGCTTCAGGTGTTTCCACCTACAGTCCTCCTGGTTAATTTGTGTGTTTTTAACTTTTACTGTCTTGAATCCAGTAAACACTCCTAGACCCGGTCTAGTACTGTTTACCCAATTAGGTAATTTACAACATCATTTTTGGCGCCGACCGTGGAACCGCTAAGGTTTCTTTTTCACCCAAACACAAACCCTACTCATGAAACGCCACTATGAGAATGTCTTCAAGCCAGTTGAACAACACCACCTCAGCCCTGGTGCAAGCCACCACTGAAGGAACAACAATCCCGATGGTTACTTCCCAACTAGCTAACTCTACCTCTGTGATGCCGATGGGTTTGAGCCCCATTTTGACACCGACCATGACTTCTCCATTTGCGATCCTTGTTCCTTACGTCGGGCCAAGGGTCGCGTTTCTCCAAAGCATGACCCCATTTCTGAATGACCCACCCAACTTACAAGCAATCCAGGGCTTTGGCCGGGTCATGGCCATGTGTCAACAAAATGGAGAAATGCCATTCCTCCCGAGAATGTTTCCCTTTGCTCTACCAGGCATTGGAATGTTACCGCTGCAAACCCCAATGGCAGTGTCTCCCTTTCACACACCAGTTCCCCAGCCATCACCTTTTCAGGTGCAGGTGGTCAGCACTGTGGCACCTATCAATTTGACCAGTACACTGAACATCGCTGGGCCATCATGCCCTCCCCAAAGTTCCTGCCATCCGTAGAGCACCCCTGATGGTCATTGGATCTCGATTGAAAGCAATGACAGAGAGTGGGACATTCCTAGAGCCCACAAGAAAAAGAAGGGCAAGACCGAGAGACCGGCAATCTCCCACGACTCCGCCTTTGAAAGGCTGGGGGAGAGAGAGGAATGCTAGTGTAAATCAGTAAAACTAAGATTGGGACAAAGTGTGGCCCATGTCAACGCATTTTCTTGGTTAGGCAAGGGGAGGGAGGCCGAGCCTGTTCGCACCCATTGCACCCGGTCAAATCGGGCGGAACCCGCTAAATCACGGGTTTTGCACCGAGAAGAAGCTGAAAGCCAACCACGTGAGCTGGTGAGGAGCAGGTTGGCAAACCCGGGTGATTGCTACAAACGAATGGAAGCAAAACTGGAAAGGCTGGAGAGAAGGGTGGAAGAGAAGAATGACAAAGAGAAACCCCTTGTGGATTCTCCGTTCACTATAAGGGTCCACCTGACACCATTTCCACAAAAGATAAAGGTGGAAGCACCAAGGTTCACGCGAAAGGAGGATCCCGATATTCACTTGGATTCCTTCAACTAGAGTGCGACCATGATGTGGTGCACCGATGAGGGGGAATGCCTTCTTTTCTTCCAAACCCTGTGAGGTAGGGCCACGGAGTGGTTCAATAAACTTCTCCCAGGAGGTATTGACATGTTCACTGAACTAGCCTCGAGATTCAAGGCCATGTTCCAAGAGAACTGCACAAAGAGGAAGAAATTCACCTACATCAGTACAACCGAGCAGAGGAAATCTAAGAACCTCACCCAGAATCTCACCCGGTGAAAAGATGAGGTGGACAAGGTCAAGGAAATGGATGACAAGACGATCTTGTTTGTATTGCTCAATGGCCTGCATGCCAAGGAACTATACAAAGACTTCTGCCGGAGGCCTCCGGCCACATACGAAGAGGCCTACCACACGGCATGGGAATTTGCTGATGTAAGACCCTCATCCCTATTTATACGTAAATAATCATAATTTGTTATATTTAGCCTTTTAGGCCATTGTTTACTTTTAAAAGGATTATTTTTCTTGACATAATATTTTTAGATATACTCCGTATTTTAGAATAGAGAGAGTTGAAGAAGATGTCAAAATTGGGATCCACATCCAAAGAAGAAAGCTGGGCCAAGCCCAAATTAGGACTTGACCCATAAATCATCCAATTAACCCATAATGTCTTAAAAGAATAACAAACGGAGTAAGAAGAGAGGGGGATACAGAGAACAGAGTAGAGGCCGACCTAGGGTTCGATCCTAGGTCAGGCGATGGCGGTGGCAACTAGATTCCGGTGGACACTAGAGGCAGCGGCGGGAGCAGTGGAGGTCTGGCGAAGCTTTGGACTACTCTGGTCTCTGTGCACGACTCAACGAAGAAGAACAGTCAGGGGAGCAATATTTTTCCTTTCATAAACTTATTTCATTTTTATGAGGATTTCAAATTTGTTTATCTCCCAATTTATGAATTTGAATATCCTGTATTAAATATGTCCATGTTTATTTTCAAATCTTGTTTTACTGTTGAATGTTTAAAGTGATGAATTGTTTATGTGTTGATGTCGAATTGTTCAAATTTGATTTATTGATTTATTACAGTCTTTGAAATTATAAAACCTTTTTAGGCTAAATTGTTTGATGAAAAAGATTGAATCTTTGATTTGGTTGTTAGGGTTTTTGTTCAATTAATTTGACTTTGAAGGAATTATAGCTCTATACTAGTGTTAAATCTAAACTCAAAGAGGTGTTCTGACAACTATTATTCACCAAATTTTATTTAAATTAGACCAAGTTAGGAACGCGCGCCTAATCTAGTTTAAAATGATATTCTTTTAAAGGCCAAAGTGCTTTAAATAGACGAACTTTTCTAAAAACTAAGTGTCATTTGATTAGTCTTGGCTGCCTCGTTAAGTGGTTTTTGCTAATCAAGGTTCTCAAACTGATTTTGTTAAATAACCGTACGTAGTGTTACTGCAAAGTTGTTATGGTGATGTTTTCCAAAAATCTTAATGCGTTATTCTTAGTAGTAACTTAAGGGTGTGTCTTTAGGTTGCTAAGGGTAGTAGGGTTTAGAGTTAGGGTTGGTCTTAACATGAGCTAATATGAATGGAAAAATAGGGAAGAACCGTTGGTGGATCACTTCTTTAGCCTACCCCTGAGTTTAATTAACAGTTTAATTTCAGAATCAAGACATAATAATTTGAGAAATTATATTTGTTTAGTTTATTTTCTATTAAAAATTATAAGGATTTTTAAAATGGTTTAAGTTAGTTATTACTGTCTACGTTCTTATAAAGTTTAAATGTGTGTTTGTTTTTGTGTTTGTTTTCTCTGTGAGTGTTACTTCTGAGTTTGAGTTGTTGTTATGGTTCCATCTCTTATCTGTTATCTTTATCTTTATTCAATTTGCATTATATATTTATATCATTTAATTTTATCATTCAAACCCCCATATCCTTTAGTTTTAGTTTTTAAATTTTAGTTAGTTTTTGTTCAATAAAAGTGACAAAGTGAACTGATTTTCAAAAAAATAAAAGTATTTCTCCTCGTGGGATCGACCCTTACTTGCCATGTCTATATGTTTTAATCAATATTAATTCATAAAGGGGGTTAAGAGCTAAGGAAAATAATAAATTAATTTGTAGGTGCTACGACACACCTATCATTACTCCATACTACCTCCGTCCCAGTCTCTTTGTCCACTTTTGACTTTTGGAACTGTTCATCTAAGCACTTTGACTCATCAAATTCTCTCAATGTGTAAGCCTAAATATAGTCATGTGTGATCTTGTTTGATTTGTCTTAACATATAGATTATTAATATATAATTTCTATAATTTTTTAATATACAAATTACAAGATAAAATGGATTAAAGAAGCGCATTGGATGGTGTGCCAAAAGGTAAGTGGACAAAGAGAGTGCGACGGAGGGAGTATATTCTAAAAGTTTATAGTGATATTGTGACAACACGAGCTATTTTGCACACTTCCCTTCTTTGAGTGTGGATACATTTTAAAAGTTTAGATTTTTTTATAATGGGAACCACAATTTAGCTGTCATTGTCGCTATACTTGGTTGTTTTGTAGGTTGCAAGAGACATTGTCCTATCATCTTCCACGATGATTTCATTTTATCCCAAGGACCTATAATTTTTTCAAAACAATATATTGGATTGGTCTTATTGGGTTGATGTTGCATTGTCAATGTGTTCCTAGCATGAAATATATTTTTTCCTTGGTAATTAAAAACTTTAACTCAATTTTTTAATAGAATGATATTTTTAAACCCGTCTTATATATTTGTAGTTCCTTTTTTTGTTGATTTGTTAACTGCTAGGCATGCCTTGGGGGTCTGAATTCTTAAATTCAAGGTTTGGCTTGGGTATGATATTCATGAATTCCTTTAATGCATAATGGTTTATTATCTTACTCAGGCTAGTCTCCATCTTTGCTTGAATCTTTTGATTAATGTTACTATGCCATTCTACTCTTGATGCCTTTTCAAATTCGATGTCAAAGGTCCATCTCACTTTTTCAAGTGTGCATTGACATATTCTCTTGAGTTCGCAGGATTCCAGCCTGCTCACTTTCCTTCTCTGCACTGTTCTTCAACAAAGAGAAGGATTCAATTCCTCCAAATTTGAAAAATAGATTGAAGACAAATATTAGGAAAACAAATGTAACCATATGACATTTTCCTAAGTGATTTCTTCTGATGCACTAAGGGTACAACTCTTAGGAATTTTTAAGACTAAGGGTCCGTTTGGTATACGGAATTGATGGAAAGCAAGGACAAAGTGAAAAAGGACAGTTCAATGTAGGATACACTTAGAACCTCAGACGAATAGCAAGCAGACTCCAAGGATGATGGCATAGGGGTGATGATCAACTTAGGAAGAGGGTAAGACCCATTTGTTCTTTCGATTTAAATTTTTCACCAAATTCATCTAAATGATCCGAATTTGAAACCGAAATAATCTGAAAAGTGAAGATTTGACCTATAGTCGAAGAACCGAAATGATTCGAACTGTACCGAAATCGAACCACACACATATGTATAATTTAAGTCTGAAACCGATCGGATCTGACAGAGTAAACTCGAAGTCGATAATACCCGAACCTGATTATGGCGAACTGATTGAACCGAAATTGATAATATCCAAAACCGATTATATTCGACATTAATTATATTCGGAACTTATTTTGCATGACAACAAACATATTATTTATATACATTATTGCACAATTACATTTCAAAGAAAGAAGTGAAAGAGCAAAGATGTCCAATGTCATAAATAGAGTGGATTTAGCTAACTAGGCATGGATTTGTCATCTCCCTCCGTAATATTTGTCTACTTTTGATTTTTTTTGGTCAATATCAGAATTTTGATCCCAAATTAAATAAAAATATTATTAGATATTGATACAAAAATGGTTTTATTAGATTTAATATATAAAATGTTTTTAAAATATCATTTTATCTAATTAATATATAATATATATATTATTTAATTATAAATCAATGATTAAAAATGGTTAGTATTATTTTCATCACTAACATATACTTGGATAATAGAAAGAAGGCTAGACATGCATGTGAACATAACTTAAGGATAAACTTGTTTAGATCTCATAAATGAAATGCATACAGCCAAATGTGGGGTGGATATAACTAAACTATTATTACCGATCATACCCTCTAAAATGGTGTATTTATTCTCAAAGAAATTAGAAGCAAGATATAAAATGGTGTAGACAAGATGATTAGGCCGGTTATTGTCCAAAACCGCACCCGGAAATTATTCATTCACATGAGTGGGGACAAACAACTAGTATATATGCAGCATTTAATTTTTCTCCCACACGGCATAGTCCTGTCCGGACGCAACGACTTTGAAATTAGACGGGATTAAGTTGCCAAGATCAAGCCTTCCCCCTATCTTCACTATCACTTTCTCGTCAACCTTTCCCACATAAACGTCACCCTCCGCTGCCAAAATCTCCACGCTGCTCTTCTCCGTTATCCCATTCCTGTTCCTCACCGAAATCAGCTTCGAAATCTGATCCTTCAATCCCCAGTCGAAGAAGTGATCATAAAACTGCCGATCAAACACATGGATATTTGTTATAAACCTTTCGATCATCACTTGAGCCAGGACGACCCATCACGACTTTCAATTAACGTTATCGCTTTAAACACTCTAATAAATTGGGAGATGAAAGAGAAGAAGAGTAAAGACATGAAAGATAATGAGGAAAACGTTTTTTTGGCTTACCACAGATGGAACGCCAGGGTGGGTGAGGATGTAAGCATATCCCTGCTTGACTTTGTCCCCGGGGAAAGGCCAGAGGTGCTGAGTAGATCCGGTGTCATGGTTATCCACAAAAGTGACCGCATTTCCGGGCAAAACACCGATCAATCCGGGCGGCTTTCCGTTCGAATCCTTCAGCCTCCACAGCTCTCCTTCCACGGCCGCCTGAAGAATTCCTTTGGTGGTGAAGTCAAAGGCCGTCACAGATCCGCCGGCGTCATTCACCCACCGGGACAGCTCGTTCCGGTGATTGTCTTGGTTGTACTCCAGCTTCCCGTCCGACCCGTATGCCATAGAGTTCCAGAACTCGCCGACGGCGAATTCCGGCGTCGTGTTCTCCATGTAGATCTTGGTGACCCAGCCGGCGTATCCCCTGACGAAATCGAACCTCCACCCGTCGAACCCAATCTCCGACTTGAGCCAATTCATCCACTCGGAGAGCTCCCTCTGCACCCTCTCGTTGACATGGTCGATGTCCGGCGCCGCCGCGAAGTCCATGCCGGTGTCGGGGTTGCCGTTGCCGTCCGAGTACTGGGTGTCGTTTTTGCAGATGAGGGACGGGCCCCAGTCGAGGCGGCCGTCGGCGGTGCCGCCTTCGAATATGCAATAGATTCCCCGGTCGTCTTTGTAGTCGGCGCATCTGTGGTTGATCACGATGTCCGCCACCGCTTTGATGTTGTGGTCGTGAAGGGCCTTCACCAGTGCTTGCAGCTGTTGTTTATTTCCATACTTGGATGCATCCAGGTCGTATAACCTTCCGGGCATGTACCCTGATGCACAAAATTAAATCCATTTTAAACAAAACAATTAATCCTATGTTTAGTTCTTAGAATCCAAACAAAAAGAAAAGAAATAAGTTTTCTAGCTCTCTTTTCTCAAAAACATTGTTTTCTTATTCTTTAAATTATTTCTTCTTTTGTTAATATACGGAGTAGTTTTTCTTTCATTTTCTTATTTTCCTTTCATTTGCCCCCAGCGGATGATTGTATTTGGGTTGAAAAATGTAGTCCACAATTAACCAACTCAACAAAAAATCCAAGCTTCAGGTGCGAGTATGTTAGTTTCGAGTCTTGCACGTGAAACTTTAATTTTTTTTTTCTAGGTGACCTTGAGTTTGAATTTGTGACTTCTTAGTAACAAGGTTTCTATTGCGATTCATTTGCCACATGGGAAGAACTAAATAAATACGGAGTATCACTTCCATTACTTCCATATAAACAAAGCTGAAATTATATTCATTGGGTTAAGCTTTTGTTTAGAAGGTGGGTCCAAAGTTTAGATTAAGAGCATGTGCAATGGCAAGGAAGAGGCATGCCATGCACTGCCACATCAGCTTCTTCCACACATATCATGGCATGGCAAGGCTAAAATGTCTTGCTTTGTGAGGCATGAGTGTGGCACTCCATCCTTCTTTTTTTTTATTTTTTTTAAATAATTTTTTTAAAACTTTTTATGAAAAAAATGTACAAAAAAGTAGAATAATTTTTTAATAAAATAAATAATAAAAATATTTTTTTATGTTTAAAAAACATAAAAAATTGTAAAAAAGTGATAAAAAATAATGACTTGCCATTGTAGAACTTGCCATTCCATTCACTTGCCACACGCTGACTGGACTATTTTTGATTGGTTAAAATGTTCCATGTCACCGTGTGGCATTCCATTTTTGCCTTGCCATTATTCATGCTCTAAAAAGAGGTTCAATCTCGGCGCCCAACACACTGCCCAATTAATTTCGGCCAGTGAAAATCCAACCGTCCTTAATATCAATCAACTTAATTAAAAATTCAAACTTTTCTGTCTAGGCTCAAGAAAAGTTTTACTACTCCGTATATTCCTAAACCTCACCATACACCTCTCAAAGACTCTAACCACTTAAGCTACTAAGCACTTGTTACCAAAATCATGCAGAATAGTATATATAGTGTTTCTTATTTGTGTTGAATAAATTTAAAAAATTTCTAATTATTTGTAAGAAAGAACATGTTTGTGTTGTGTAGTTATTTTATAATCTTTTAAAATATTTCAAAGTAAAAACTAAATATTATTTTTTGTATTAAATAATAATGAATAATTTACATCTAAACAAATATTATCATCTATAAAATGAAGAAATATATACTAATTATTTATTACAAAACATGGGAAGTGTGAAAGAGTACATGAACAATACCATTGAAAATAACATGGAGAAGAAAAAACACAATATTAAATACATGGAGTATTTTATTTAACATTAAAAATAACATTTACATCTTTCCTTAAAAAATGTGTTTGGTTCAAATGCGAAGATTAAAGTTAGACGGAGGGAGTACGTGCTTTGGATTATTTAGAAATAATAGGTATTTAAGTTATGTGATAATATTTTATTATCTTTAAAAATAGTTCACAAAGCATGGTATCATTTAATTTTTTATTATCTAAACATAAATATGAATGTTATATACCAAGTCATGGGTCGTTGACTGGGTCGTTGACCCGAGTCAACCCAGTTCAACCGGTTGACTCTTGACCCAGTAGCTTATCCGGTTCGACGTCCGGTCCGGTTTTCAAAACATTGGTATATTCTAAGAATTCTACATGCACCTACCTTGGGTAGAAACGGAGTGGGAGGGTGGCGGGAGCCAAACATGAGTTATTCCAGCATAAGCCAAATCCGGGACTAGATTGATAAGAGAGTTGTACCATCCGCCTTGCTGCTTGTTTGATTCCCAATTGAACCCCTAAACCAAGAAGAACCATGAAAAATAAAAATAAGAAACCAATAATGTTTTGAAAACCGGATAGGCCGGTGAGATAGTTAGGATCCCACCACAGCCCGATCCGGACTGTACATCCGAACCCTGAAAAAGAACCGGCCGGACACTGAGGAAGCTTAACTATGCCTTATCCTAGTTTTAATAGCGTACCTGAAAGAGAATAGTAGAGCCAAATGCAGGAACAAGAAGGAAGACTATACAAAAGGCAGAGAGAAACTGAAGAGGACTCATTATTATGTTCCTTTTTTGAGGAATGCAATTAAGAGCAGATGGGATGTGCTTATAAAGGAGGGAAATGTGTGCTTGTGTGAGTACTCATTTAATGCAGTTCCTTTTGGGGTAGTGCAAATATTTCTTACTCTTTCGTCAACGCAACTTCTCTATCTTGTTTTTTTTTGTTTTCTTCTAGAATTGAGCTTATCCAACGCCATATAAAGCGCCATGATTGAGAAATAAAATTGTAAAGGTATATCATGAATTCATGACGAGGGGTCGGTGTAGACTTGGCAAAAATTAGCTCTTTATTCCATATCTAATTTGGAAATACGAGTTTTGAACAAAAGTTTTGTTCATCTACCAAAATTATGAACTATTAAAAATAATTAAGTCAAACCTGACCGAACTGGCCTGATCGACCTCCTAAAATAACTATTTTTCAAAACCATTTAATTTAATATGAAAAATAATGTTATTAAAGTAAGGTTATGTATTTACTTTTTTTCTTATTAATCATTTTTAACTTATATTTTTAAACAACTTTTTATTGACGTCACATACATATCTTACATTTTTTAAGAAGTGGTACGTATTAAATTTTTTATATTAATCAAAGTATTATTAAATCTATATAAAATAGTAGGGATGAGCAAGTACCGAACCGATACCGAAATTTCCCGAAAAAACCGGGAATACTGAACCAAAAAATACCCAACCAAAAAAGTACCGAGAAGGAACCAAACTGTACTGAAGCGAATGGTCGGTACGATATTAGGGAACGATATGAGGTGACGTCCTATACCAAAAATCATGAACTGAACATATATACTAAAATATTATTAAAAAAAATAATACCCCGAAGTAGTATCTTTATATTCCTTCACTAATTAATAATTTAAAAAAAAAAGTGGTTCAAGTTCTATTGTGTGTAAATTATACTTTTATTTGAGTTTTAGTTTTTGTGTATGAATGATACGGGTTTATATTTAGTGATTTACCATTATTGTTATAGGTAGTTTTATTATTTATGGTTAGATAATTATATTATTATTAGGAAGTATAATTATATTAGATTAGTAGTATTATGGTTTATTTAATTACCTTGTACGCTTAGGATTCTCTAGATCTACCATCAATATATGTAGCCATTACTCATAAAATTATTATTGAATCAATAAGAAATCATTTTCCCTAAACCCTAGTTTCTTCTTCTTCCCTCTCGTTCTTCTATTCTGCCGAACAAAGTGTCGTGCGATTTTCTCTTCTCTTCCTTTTCCCTAACTCCATAGCTCGAAGGTGCTAATCCTTCCTTATCCCGAACATAATACTTTGTTGTTCTTCATTTTTTAGTTTGTGAAAAATAAACTAAGTTTTCATACGCATCTCTTACATTTAAATATTCATTTTTTTTAAATTTTTCATGTTTTTTATATTTAAATTCACTTTTATTTTTAAAAAATATAGGGGCATTGTTAAATTTTAACGTGTAATGTAGGTATGTATATTCATCCCGATTTGTACCGAAACCGATGCCGAACCATACCGAACTAATATTTCGGGATCGGTACGGAGGAAAATCTCATACCGAACCAGAATATTTGGTACGGTATTGGTACGAGCTAAATACCATACCATGCTCACCCCTATAAAATAGTAGTAGTGAAATTTGTACTAAATAGTACTAAAACACATGTCAATTTTCAATGTAGTACTTACACTTTTTTTATTCCCTGAATATTACTTGAATAATGTCTACTGGCAAGAACATTACCCATAGATAGTAGACATTTAGTTTGAATAATGTCTAGTGGTGGTGGACATTTACTTGAGCAATGACCAGTGAACTATGACCAGTACTACATTTAGAAATAAAAACCTATAGTACTACATTGGGAAAGTCACTATGTTTTGGTACTGATGTTGTAAATTACCACCCAGAAAACTGCTCAAGACTAGGTCTAGGATGGTTTGATGAGTTTAGAAACTAAAGTGAGATTTCTTTTTTTAAATCTTATATGTGAATTTTTTTAAATTGTGTGATAATGACTTTCTAACTCGTAATCTCTTAATATTAAAGTTCAGATACTATAGGGGAAAATGTTATTTGTACTCTAAGAATTTGTACCCCATTTTGTATACCGTCAATGATGCATCAACATTTTGTGTTGGTGTAATGCTAATTTTTGTTAACGCACCAACACTTTGTGTCAGTGTAAATTTTTATTAACGCACCAACACTTTGTGTCCAGTGGCAGACCCACGAATTTTGGTGAGTGGGTTCACATTTTGTGCACAAAAAAATGTTGATATTTGTATAGCAATAAATCTAAAACAAGGTAAAAAAAGTATCAATAAATAGCATTCTGAGATATGATAAATATTGCAAGTTGTATGTAATATTTTTGAAATACTGTATAAAAAATATAATACGTTCATTGCTTTAACCAAAAAAGAAAAAAAAACTAAACAACTAAAATAATAATTCTAGAAATTTCTTCTAATACTAAGTATATTTTAGGAATCTTTTTAAAACAATTAAACTTGTTCATACATTTCAAAAAAAAATTGAACATCTTATAATTAAGTTTCGTAATTAAAGTTAAATCACTTTTCCAAATCTAAAATAATTAAAACATAAAATTCTATACAATTATAAAAGGTGTTCTCTGTTCCATTTTCAAAAAAAATAGCACCTAATCACATATTAATATACTCTTCTTGGATGCCCTTAGTCTACATATAATACCTAATTACATACTACTACTAATAAATAATTTTTTGGAGTGGGTGCAATTGACCCCACTTGCACAACCGTAGGTCCGCCCCTGTTTGTGTCCGTGTAAACCATCAAAATATTGGTACATACATTTGGAGTATAAATGGATACAAATTTTGGGGTACATGTGTAGCATGCTCCTATCCAAAAACCAGTTTAAGTACAAGGATTTAGGCTCTGTTCCGTTCAACTTATTTTTTCTGATCTGATCTGATTCTAATAAGTTCTGATCTGATCTGGTCTGATCTGATCTGATCTGATTGGATCTAATCTGATCTGATCTGATTGAATCTGATCTGATCTGATCTGGAGTGATCTGATCTGGTCTGATCTGATTAATTATGATTTAATTTAAAATTTCAAATCAATAATTTAATTTGACTTTATAATAATGTTTGAAAATTATAATGATAATTCATATTATAATATAATCAATATTTTTTATTTAATGATTATTTTTTAATAAAATAAAAATAGTTAATTCATATATTAGAATAATCATTCATATTATAATGTAATAATATTTTTTATTTTATGATAATTTTTTTGTAAAATTAGAATTATACATTAGAATAAATATTTAATTTAGATATACATTAAAAAGTAATTAAATTTAGATAATCAATATATAGAANGAAAATTGTAATGATAATTCATATTATAATATAATCAATATTTTTTATTTAATGATTATTTTTTAATAAAATAAAAATAGTTAATTCATATATTAGAATAATCATTCATATTATAATGTAATAATATTTTTTATTTTATGATAATTTTTTTGTAAAATTAGAATTATACATTAGAATAAATATTTAATTTAGATATACATTAAAAAGTAATTAAATTTAGATAATCAATATATAGAATAGATAGTATTTTTATTAAAATATCTCATCCTTATAAAAGATCAAAAGTTTAGAAACTCAAATTACAAGTAGCAATAAAAATATATTTTAAAAGTAGAATTAGATTCACATTGTCAATGTATTTTAAAACTAATTTTTCTGACGTCTAATAATTAGGGATTACTTTCTCAGTTTTCTATTTAACCTATTTCTAAAGTTTATTCTTTTTCATTTTTAAGAACAATAATAATAATAATAATGATGATGATGATGATGATCATAATAATAATAATAATAATAATAATAACAATAACAATAACAATAATAATAATAATAATAATAATAATAATTCTTGATGAGATCTGTTTTTAATAAGTCCTGATCTGATCTGATTGGATTTGATCTGATCTGATAGGATCTGATCTGATCTGATTTTAATAAGAATAAGAAAAAATAAGAAAAAATAAGTTGAACTCTTAAGCTTTTCATTGAATTAGATCTTATTCACACTACAACCTCTAAAAAAAACATCGTATTCACACAATACAACCTCTAAAACTCGCCATGGTTTGCGAAGGTAGGAAAAATCTTGCCGCAATCCACGTCATTAAAGAATAATCCAATAAAAATACGGGTACGTGGTAACAATGTTTGACGTAGGGCTTCAAATTTATTTCCGTCACGTTCAAGTTTCAACCCAATCAAGCTATTAATGAACTTATCTCTATCTAATCTGATTTTTATGATTTGATCAAATTTTTTAAAGTGATCCAATCTGATATTATTTTAATTAAAATTGTATGTATGTTTTTATTTTTTTTAAATTTTTTTATTTGGTTTAATTTTTCTAATCTTATTTGATTTGATCTAATTTAAATAAAGGTAAATAATACTTTCTTCGTCCAAAAATTCTTTCTCGCTTTGACTTGACACAAAAATTAAAAAAGTTAAAAATTTTAAATACTTTTCATGTAATTGTTCTTGATATGATGAAATAAAGTGAAAATTGTAGATAAAAAGTAGGGGTATCAAGATACATTCATTAAAAGCTTTTTTTTGCCAAAATAGGAAACAGTAAAGAAATATTTGGACGACCCAAAAATGAAAGCAATGGTGGATGTACTTAGAAGGTGTTTCGGAGTAATTAACTGTGTTCTCTGAAACGGTGTTCTATGTACAAAATAGTGGTGGTGAAAAGCAGAAGCTGACATGCCAAACAGAGTAAACTCACTTTTACTCAAATCAGAAACTAAATTATTAAAAGCAGCACATTGCCAAACACCCTCTTAGAACCAAATGGGGGCCAATGCCCCCTACTAAATTTTGGTGTTAAATCATTTTTTTATTTTGAAAAAAAAATCTATACTAGACTGCATGCCCCTATCTAAATTGGGGTTGACCCCATCTAAAATTATGTACTCCCAACAAAAAATAATAGAATCTTATGTAGTTAAGCTAGTTTTTAGTTTTTGATTAATTTTATTGAAGTGTCTTTTATTTAATATAATTTATTGTTTATAATAAGATTTTATATTACATATTAAACAATATTTTACATTCAATAAATGTTTAAAATAGAATTTAATAATAATTTTTTTGTTATTCCATATTGTCTATTTAAAAAAATCTTGGGGTGCGGCCCCGAGATCCCGACCAATTATGCCCCCATCTACCCGAATTCTTGGATCCGCCACTGAAGGAAAGTGAAAAATAAACTAATAGACGGGAGAGTACTACTTAAGTACTCCATCCATGCATAATTTTATTTTTAAGTTCGACTTTAGTCTAAGTTTTTAAAGTTTAACCATAAATTACAAAAAATACATTAAATTGTTATATATATTTAATATCGATAGATACATTTTAAAATATTTTTTTGAAATATTATTTTTTCTAAAATATATCTATATACATAGAGATACCAATAGTCAATATGTTGCATTGAAGACCATGAATGTCAAATGGAAAGAAATTTTATGAACAAAAGAAGTAATAAAGTTAAGTTCAAGAAATTGATGCAATTTGATAATAATTAATCTTATTGAATTATGAAGGATACATCTCTATTTATAGGGATTACATGAGAGAGTTCCGATCCAAGTAGGAAAAGGAATAAAGTAAACAAATACAATAAGGAATCAAAGAAAGAAGGAAATTAATTAATTAATAATGTATTCCCTAGTATCCCACGCAAGTTGATTAGCAGAGACGAGGTGCGGCTTGGATCATAAGTACGCGAATGGAAGTGGCGCAAGCGGCTTCGTGAGAATGTCTGCTAATTGTTCTGAAGAGGGAACATGATGTGTAGTCATAGTGTTTGTCATTACTTCATCTCGTAAAAAGTGACAATCTGAACCAACATGTTTCATACGATCATGGAGAATTGGATTTTTTGTGACACATATAGTTGACTCATTATCACAGTATAAGCGTTGTTTCAAAGGAGGAATACCCAACACATTAGTAATATAGCGTAGCCACATAGCTTCGGCTACGCCTGCAGCCATAGCATGATACTTAGCTTTAGTGGAAGATCTAGAAACATGGGTCTGCTTTTTCGTACACCAAGAGATGAGATTGGGACCCAACAAGATGATGTAACTAGCGGTAGATTTACGATCATCTTTATTATTTGCCCAATCAGAATCAGAATAAACAAACAGATCAAATCCCTCCTTGCAAAAAAGAAGACCAAGATGTAAGTACCTTTCAAGTAGCGGAGGACACGCTATAAGGCGTGATAATCCTTCACATATGGGTTGTACATAGTCTAAGACACCCAATTGGCCGCGTAGTGAATGTGCGGATGACTAACAACTAAATAGTGCAAACCACCAACAATACTCCGGAAATGAGAGGGATCCTTGAAAGGAACAGAGGGCGTGATGACTGGTCTAGCGATCATGGGGGTAATGGCCAGATGACATTCAGACATCCCTGCTCTGCGTAGAAGGTCACGTGCATATTTTTCTATGGAGAACCATGTATTCCTTGGTGCGTCTGACCTTAATACCGAGAAAATAATGGAGAGGACCAAGTTCTTTCAGCTTAAAGTTGTGATGCATGGCCTGTGTAACTTTATAAATAATGGCAGATGAACTCCCAGTAATAACAATATCATCAACATAGACGATGACGATGACCGTTCCTTAGGCACAATGGTGAGTGAATCTTGGGACGATTTGCAAAATAGAAATAGATGACAATCTATAAATCCATTGACCTAGGCTTTGGGAAAACCTAGACACGAGGGTCACGCTTCGTGCATAGGCATTTATGTAATGCATAATTGGCCTTAGTGCTAGTGGGAGATTGTTGAATATATAAGTGAGCCCTAGAGCCCAACTTATGATTCAATATCTATTTTATATCAAGAATAATAGGCGTTAAAGATTGTTTAAGTCGTATCGTGTGGTTTAGACGTACACTACGTCTAAAACAGATGCTGACAACTGTTTCTTTTAGTTGTCTAATTGGGTTGGTTTCAGTAGTCTATTGAGCAACTGTCTGATATATTTACAGACTACTGTTTAAAAATAATTGTGTAGTACGGTGGACGACACCTATTTTGTGATCTTTCAGAGTACATGTTTTTGAAGTTGTCTTTGTATGAGTAAGACATCTGTTTTCTAGACTTAAAAACAATTGTGATTCTTTGTTGTCTATCTATAATATATACTACTGTTGTTTTCGACTTCAAATTCCTATTGTTTGGTGTTGTCGGTCAAAAATATAGATATTTAATTTCTAAACTAGTTGAAAGATATATTAGACTGCTGCTCGGAAGACTACTAAACAAAAATAGTATCAGACAACTGTTATCTAGTGTTATATTTCTAAAACATAGACTACTAATTTTGTTGTATGTTAAACAACCGTTTCATTCAATTATATAGTGCACAATAACACTACACTTTTTTGCAGTTGTCCTTAAAATATTCCAACTATATTTTTGAACAGTAGTGTAATTGATTATCAGACAGCTCCTCGAAAGACCACTACAAATATTTTCATCAAACAACTATTATTTTGTGTTGTATGTACAAATTAAGACTACTACTTTGGTCTTATTTTAAACAACTGTTTGTTTTTGTTATATAACGATTATTAACACTATGATTTTGTTTAAATAATATGCAAACAACTGTTATTTTCAATGGTATATGTAGAACGCAAAAGACTATTTTGTTTCATTTCAAACAATTGTGTGTTCTAGATGCCTAAAATTATTAAGACTACAGGTTTGGTTTGTGTAGTTGTCCGTATACGATTCAAACTATCAAGTTGAATAGTGGTCTAATTGTTTATCCAACTATGGTTATTTTGTATTGTCTCTCTAAATCAAAGGCACCCATTTTTAATAATTAAAATTTGTTTCAGTTATAAAATATTAATCATAAAACAAAAAAAATTCCAAAAATTACAATACATTGAGTAATATCTAAAATCATACATTCAAAATATTAATATCATCAAATAATTAATATTTACATAAATAAAAGGACATCGTAATTGCCCATTGAGCCAACTAAATTAGTCATTTGTTCCCATATCATATTCGAGTTGTTCAAGTTGCAAGATATTTCATGAAATGCCTTGCAAATTCAATCATTGTCTCATACATGTCATCCCCAATGTAGTAAACGATTCATATCAATAACCTTTATCGACTTCATGAAAGTCTCGCTCTTGTGGATCGACCTAGCTATAATTGGTTGCATTGAACCTAGCATTAAAAAACAATTAAATTGCGTGAATATGATAACTAAACTTAGTTGTACTTCAAACACCTCTTTCACGCACAAACAAACTTGTCATACAGTTTGATAATGATATTTATACCTTTTTGAGTGCTTGGTTCAAGTGTGATTTTGCATTCCTCTCTAATGCTTCAAAAAAGTATGGCAAATTATGATCCTGGAAATCTGTCAAAATGAAGTGAAGGTAAAAAATGATGAATTAAGCCAAACCTTTTATTAGGATAGAATACAAAATACCATCTTATTAAAGTATGCCTACATCTATTTTCATAGTCCTAAATGCATCTAATGGATAGTCCTCTATACATTTATTTGAATTGTTCTCGCCTTACTCAGACAAATTATTCTGTCCAAGATTTTCACATTTAAAGACGGAAGAGACCACCTTGTCTCTAATACATGCACATTAATTGTGGTGGTTCACAAATATCATGTGTTACAACAACTAGTATATTAGGCATAATCGTATCAGGGGTATCACTGGAGTAAATAACATTACAATCTTGGGGTATGTGGCTATAACCTCCCACAATCAATGAAAGTAAATCACTTGGTCTATTAAATGTCCAATCACCTCCTTGATTGGTTTCTACTACAGTATGGTATATCACTACTTAGGATATTCAAGAGTCATGACTAATAAGGTCAGTGTGCAAACTTTGAAGATTTGATGTTTCTTGAGCTATTTATATAATCAGTATTTGTATCTTCATATTGTCACTACACTACCTGTCTAACATTTGTGAATCTAACAATGTTGTTCACCACAAGTCTCCGTTTTTTTAAGTTTGTACCCTGCAATGATTTGCTCAATGAGCCAAACAAACAAAAGCATTTCCACTATGCTAGATAGTAAAGTTCTTAAAACCTAATAAAAGCATAGATTGTTTTCACTTGTGTATGTATGTGCAATTGCATGAAACCCTCACCTAGCAGGATGTTTTATGCACTAAGTTATCCTTTTTTACAACATGAATTTCAAAGATTTTACCCTCTTTAGTCTCTTTACATGTTCTCAACATGACATCATGTGCTATCTTTATGTTGAAATTATTCAAGCAATTTAAAATAATAATTTATCAAGAAAAGAAGAAACAAGTGCATACAAAAAAGAACAAATTAGCATTTTATTAACATTAAATCTGACTAAGTGGAGTGCATCCTTTTATCTGAGATTATATACACACAAATATAGACATTCTATGTGTATAGAGGTTTTGATGATATCAGGCTACCAAATCTTGAGGCATTTAGAGAACTCAATCTATATCTTGGCAGGGCAGTCACTGTTTTGCAACCATAGTGGATCTGGTTTCTCTTTGTGCCTGCTGGAAACAGGTATCTGAGCCTTCACAGAGTAATAAAAACATATGGTCAATTGAACATAAAATCAATCAGAGAATGTCTAGTAAGGCATAACCTTTTGTCATTAGCCAAATCAATATAGCTCAAGCAATCTAGATGCCAAAAACTATTGCTTTTAAACTAAAAGATCAAACATATGGTCAATGGAACATGTAAAGAAGATAAAGAAGAAGAAGAAATGTAAATCCTAAAAAGGAGCACACTGTTGTATACATAGCCAGTACCTCAAAGCCAAAATTTGCTCCAATTCTCTCTCTGTCACCCAATTGGGAGGTTTGGCTGCTATGGTGATCGATGTGGAAGCTAGAGAGAAGGAGAGAGGCTAGGATACAAATTGAAGAGGAAGAAAAAGAAAAGTAGAAGAAGAATAAGAAATAAAGAAGAAGAAGAAGAAGAGAAGAAAGATTCGTGGAGAGAAGAAAAAGAAGGGAAGGAAGAAGAAGGTCCTGGAGAGAAGAAAAGAAGAGAGAAGAAAAAGAAAGGAAGGGAGAAGAAAAGAGGAANGTTTATGAAATGGGGGTATTTGAGACATTTTAACAAAGAAAAGTTTCTAAAATTAGAAATGGGAACATTAACTGTGGTCCTAGGGTTTTGTACTCTTAATTTCAAATAACTGTGTCTGGGTAAAACACATTTTTCGAGTGAACTTGCTCCGAATTAAGATCTGTTCGCGTCGTTTGATTCAATTCGTTGATCATTACCCAACGGTATAACTTTCATAATCAAGATCTGTTCGCGTCGTTTCGGGTTGGATTTTTTCGGTTCGGATATCTTTCGGTTATATGTTATAATCGGTTCGGTTCAGTTCGGATCGATTAAATTTCGGTTCGGATTTGATTTCGGTTCTATACATTTTTCGGTTCGGTTTGGTTCGGTTTTGAGTCGGTTCAGATACGGTTCGGTTATAAATCGGTTCGGATAGATTTTGGTTCGGATACAATTTGAGTCGGATATATTTCGGTTTCGGGTCTAGTTCGGTTCAGATATATTTCGGTTTCGGATCAAATATATTTTGGATATATATTATTTTCTAATTTTCCCTTTTTGACTTTTTAGTCATATATTACAAAGTTGGACTACAAATTATGAAAACATATATATTTAATTATGATATAAATTTAATATAATTAAATTAATTTTAAAATTTAGTTTTGAAATATAAAAATTTTCTCACATCTACTAATATACTTATGTATATAAATGAAAGGATAAAAGATAAATTCAAATAGTCTTAAGTTCCATTTGAATAGAATTTGGTAAAAATTGAGTAAAATTGGGTGAAATTAAGTGAATTTTATTCAATTGAGTGCAAAATTTGTAAATTGTTGAGTATATTTGGTTGAAAATAGAGAAAATTAAATTTAATAGAGTCAAATATAATTAATTTTACACCTAAATATAATGATGTAGATCAAATTTGAAAATGATAACAGTAAAGGTTGCCGCTAGAGAGTCTTTTCAAAATGCTAACACTAACATTTAATTTTATTGACTAATATTGAGTGAATTGGTTTGAAACTAATCAAATTAACTCTCAAATCAATAAAATTTATTGTAATGAGATGAAATTAGGATAAAATCTAATTATTCCATACAATTCATCATATATATATATATTCCTTTCGTCCCAAAAAGAATATCACACTTCACTATTTAAAAATTACGGAAATTTTATTTGTTTGTTCGTTATCATTTATATGTATAACTTATCTTTAATTTCTACATATAATAAATTAAAGGCATAAAAATTTGTACTTTTTTTCAAGAAAATAATCCATTTTATGAGAGAATGAGCAAGTAATGTAACTAGTTCAAATGGTAAATAAAAATAAAAATTTAAAAATATAATATGCTTATTGAAAGGTAAACATAGTTCTGAATTTATCGATTTTAGTTCTAATCGAGTTCGGATATTATCGGTTTTAGATCTAATCGGTTTCGGATTTGGTTTCGGGTATTATCGGGTCCGGATCTAATCGGTTTCGGGTTTATTCGGTTCGGATATTATTGGTTTCGGATCTAATCGGTTTCGGATTTAAATCGGATATGAATTATTTAGTTCGGTTTTGGTTCGATTCGGATCATTTCGGGTTTTCGGTTATAGATCGGATCTTCATTTTTCGGATCATTCCGGTTTCGGTTTCGGATATTTCGGTTCGGGTAATCGGTTCCGGTTTTGTTTTGCCAGGTCTAACTGTGGACGACCTGAAAAAGAAAGTGGGAACTTTAATTTTGGACGGAGGGAGTATATCCTAGGGTTTTGTACTCTTAATTTCAAATAACTGTGTCTGGGTAAAACACACTTTTCGAGTGAACTTGCTCCGAATTAAGATCCGTTCGCGTCGTTGGATTCAATTCGTCGATCCTTACCCAACGATATAACTTTCATAATCAATCAATAAGCATTTATAATAGAAATCATCCTAAATAGGACTAAAACATAGAGAAAATTACCAAAACAAGACTTTCATGTTTTTTTCCCCAGAATAGGACTTTGAATTGTGGTAATGTGGCAGTGTACATGTGCAAATTACTATACTTTTTTGGTAATGTATATGACCATGTTTGGTAATGTAAGTCCTATTTCGGGAACAAAAACATAGAAGTCCTATTTTGGTATATTTTCAATGTTTTAGTCTTCCTCCCCATTTATAACTTCCACCTGGCCCGCCTTAATTGCTTCGCTCAACTAACACTGTTCAGTTATTTACTTTAAATCTTTATATTTAAATCAGATCAGTCACCAAATATTGAGACGATTAGAATCTAGTGTCTTTTAATTCTTCAAAAGAATAGATTATCGTAAATAAATAATTCTTATTTATTTAATTATCGATTAACTTGTAGACCGGTTTTCAGAGCATTACAATTGAAAATGACAAGTTTGAGATATAAGTTTAACTTATACCACTTTAAACCTGTAATTTCTCCAACACTAAAGCATCACACATTTTAAGAGCGCAGATTTTTAACAACATAGTATTAACATCAGATTTAAATAACTCTTGAGAAGAAAGCATATATTGTACAAAAAAAACTTTGTCCATAACAATATTTAGATCTAATACAATCTTAAGACCTTCGAAAATGAACCTCTGCAAACTTGAGCAAAAAAAATAGATCCAATTCTTTTTCAAGGTGTAAAAAAAGATCTTTGAATAAAACAACTAAAATTAAACTTTAAAATAAGGTGTATTAAACCTTATTCTCCTTTCATTATTAAATTTTAAATTTTTTTTTTTAACAATTTTAAACTTAAGGACATGAATAAAACAAGTAATGTACAATAAATGTGGCAAAATCTTTACATGCATCAGATCGTACCTAATTAGATCAAATCGGACAAAAACAGATCTAATCGGATCAAATCAAATTCAAAACCAATAAGATCAGATTAAATCTTCCAAGAAAATCTAAACTTTTATATAGGTTGTGTCCTATTTTCCTGATATAATCTTTAAAAGGATCAGATCGAACCTAATTAGATTGAATTAAACCAAAACAGATTTAATCTTAACAAATGAAATTTGAATATAATAAGATCAGATCAAATCTTCAAAGCAGATCTATTTACTTGTATAAGTTGTATCCTAATTGCTTGATATAATCTTTAAATGCATCAGATCGGACCTAATTAGATTAAATCATATCAAAATGATTTAATCGGATCATATCAAATTCAAATCCAATAAAATCAGATCAAATCTTTAAAAAGATATATTTACTTGTATACGTTGTGTTTTATTTACCTGATCAAATCTTTAAATGCATTGGATCGGACCTAATTCGATCAAACTAGACCAAAACAGATCTAATGGAATCAAATGAATTTCGAATCAAATGAAACATGTTTATTTGTATAGGTTGTGTCATATTTGCCAGATATAATCATTAAATGCATCAGATCGGACCTAATCAGATCAAATCGGACAAAACAGATCTGATTGGATCAAATCCAATTCACGTCCAATAGGACCAGATCAAATCTTCAAAAAGATTTATTTACTTCTCTACGTTGTGTCCTATTTGCCGAATCTAATCTTTAAATATGGGTATCTTGTGGAATTAACTCCATGTGAGTAAAAAATTCAATTAACAAAAAAATGTACAACTAATTAATTATTTTATTATTATAGTAGTAACGGTTAGGTATTTTGACTATTTATTTTTTGGAAACTCATCCTGTACTATCATGAAAACAGTTCGGTTTGATTCGGGATATAATTTGTTAGAACCATTTGAAAACTCACTTTTCGGTTCGGTACATTATCGTTTCAGTTCGAAACAATATCAAACCTGTATTTTTGTGTACCCCTAATTGAAAGTGGTACATAAGAGTGAGAAAATTTATGGACCAAAAAACTTTTTTGTTTAAAAAATCAGATTGATGATTCCAAAAATTTTCAAGTTCATTTCGAAATTAGGTCTATCGCCTCCCCTTCAGAATATCTCTTCTCTGATAGGGATAATTTCCGTCATCTTCTTCAAAATCACAACCATCTCTTGTATGATAGAGAACATCTATCACATGAAAGAGCTCTCAATAATATCGCCGTGACTGAGCTTTCTCTCTCTGGTTTCGAGAGAGCAGTTTGGATAGGTTCCGGTCAGCGGCATCATGGCGGAGCTGTCCCAGGCTTCAGAAGTCTACAACTCGAAAACGATTCAAGTGTGGCGGACGCTCCTCAACTGGCTCACCTTTTTCTTCTAGATCTCTATCCAGATCATCAGTGGCACACCGTCGTTGACTCGGAGTTACTCCTCAACTGGCTCACCTTCTTATATATATACACACACACACACACATACGATATATATATTTTTATGTAGCGCCGAAAATATATATCTATACACACACACACACACACACACACACACACACACAAACACACACACACTGGCGGATCTACTTGAATATTAAGGGGGGCAGTTGCCCCCAGTGAAAGTTGTATTGCTGCAATATACCCGAGTAAGATTTTCTTTAACGTAGTGCTCCGTATAAGAAGTGCCCCAGTCAATTGGTCAATGCTAACGATTGCCCCCATCCTAGTAATAGAGTCCAACCAAATCTTTGCCCAGCCCTATTAAGAAAAAACTCTTCCTTAACTCATTAATTGTTCTCCTTCCACATTCTCAAACTCCATGTTAATTTTTATTTTCTAGGGTTAATTTATTCAACATAACTTTTCATTGACTTTTAATTTGTTTTCTGCTATATATTTTAAAGAAATTGAACTTTCCATTTGTCTTTTCAATTGCTTAGGTAAATTTTACTTTTCATTGTTTCTAAAATTTCAGTTTCCAGAGAATATAGTCTTCAGGATTTTAGAATTTGACTTCAGTTTATCATTCTCTTTAGAAAAAATTTGAATTGATTTTTTTTACACTTTTGGTACAAAAAATTAGGTTAGATATAACATGTGATTCTGTTAACTAACTATTGTTGGAGACTTTTTGTGTGAAATTGTTGTTTAAAAAGACTCAAATAGTGTAATGGCATATACATAGGAAAATGGAAAAGATTCACCAATATTGGTTTTACAAGTAACTACCCCACACTTGTCAAATGTTTTTGTACAATAAAACATGTTAGATGTTTTTCTACAATAGAGCATGTGAAGATTGATTTGCGCAATGTAATTGGAGACGAATTTCTTACTCGTGTAATTTGTGATGTGGAGAAAGAAGTGTTTTTTGATATTACAAAGATATAATTAATCATTTTCGAAAAATGAAAATTCATAGAAAAGAATTCTAAAATGTGATATGTTTATTTAACAGATTCATTCTCATTTCTCTCCTAAGATCACATTCTCACCAGAACCTATATATATATACACACACACACACACACACATTACAATGTTATACTAATTATTCTTTGTTCATTATATGATAATTAAAGTTCACAAAATAAATTGGAAGCTTCCTTAATAGGGTGTTTCAAAATTAGCAAAGTAAAGAAGGAATGAGATTTTATTTCTTTCCTAAACACTAAAAGGGATTCCCATTGGGAATAGGGATGGAGATTATGCTTCTTATAAAGAGAAGATCATCCCAACCATTTTGGGGACTCAATAATTTCGGCCCTCTCCTTTTTTATCAAGAAACAATTTGTTTTGTTTTCTTAATGCTTTACTCTAAAATATTTTATATTTTAGAAATATTCTAGGGAAAAATTACTAGCATAATTTTCTCTAGAACGTTCTTCATAGTTCGTTTGTCTCAACCTGAGGAGGTTAGATTCTTTTGTGGCTAGCTCTCGGACCAATCCTTTCAACCACACATATCGCTGTTTGCTCGCCAAGAAAGGTATAATTTTCTAACAATAACTTATAAGTTATAATCTTTATAAAAGGTCTTGGGTGGATCTATGTTTGGAAAAAACCTTTTATATTTTCGCTGCCCTTTCCAAGCGTATTACCCAACTGTGGTATCTGAGCGGACTTATGAAATTATACGTTTTGTAGATCTAATTTCCATTAGCGTTTTTGTTAATTGCTAAATAAAATTAAATATGTATTTAATTTTCAAAAATTATCCAAAATTCATAAAAGTGACAAAATATGATTCTGGACTTTATGAAATTCGAAAATATGATTTTTTTAATTAAAATTGGGTTATATTCTATTTTCGGTATTTATTGATTAAATCGGCTTAATCAATGAAAAATATTTTGAAACTTCGAAAATTGTATTTTAATAGATTTGAGACATTTAAATGTGATTTTAAGTGTTCAGGAAAATTAAAATTAAATTAAAGAATTTATTTCCTTATTTAAAAATTTTATTTAATTTTGTAGTTAATTTAATTAATTGCAAAATAAATATAAGTTGAATATGGAAAAATAATTTTAATCAATATGGAATTTTAAAATATGATTTTAGGCATTCTGGAAAATTTAAATAAATGTTCAGTTTTATTTTTAAATTTTTGGATTTAGTTTTGTCTATTTCAACATTAAAATTGATTAAATACAATTAGACATTTAAAATTGGAATTATAATTTTATAAATCGAACAATATGATTCTCAGGTTGTATGAAATTATTCATAATCTTTAATTTAGATATTTAATTTGTAATTTTAGAATAAATAGGGAAACTGAAAACTTTAAGTGGTATAATACCTGGATGGAAGAAGGGGCGAAACAATTGTGAAGAGGAAGGACGCTGATATGAACGGTTGAATCTGGCTGCACGATTGAGAATTGAAGATGCTTTTGAACGAAACAATCTGGTCGCACGATTGAAGACGTTGTTGAACGAAACAATCTGGCCGCACGGCCGAGAGCTGAATGTTCGATTGAAGACGCACGATTGAAGATGTTGTTAAACGAAACAAACTGGCCGTAGGACAGAGAGCTGAACGATCAAAGGAATCGATCTGAATTTACTCAATCCAGTGATCAATTAGGAGAATTAGGTCATACGATTCACAGGTGATGAGCCCCGAAATTAGGCCTATTAGAAATAATTAGTTGATAATTAATTATTTACTGAGAAGGACCCAAAAATAAGTGATTTATAAAGTTTGTCAATAAATAATGAAAATTATATCATTATGTAGAGTTTGACTATCTGACCCCAACGGTTCAATCGGATTTCAATTTGGAGAAAGTTGGATCAAAAAGTGTACCCCAACTGGGACCAAAATTAGTTCCAATCAGGGACTACACACCAAACGGCGCCCTGTTCAGTTATAAAGATTCCAAATTCGTCGCTCAATCACGGAAGCTGCAAACCTGTGTCTTCTTCTTCTTCCATGGGCTATTTAAGGACAACCCAACTTCCTCATTCCCTCACCAAAACAACTCATTCTTCCTTCTATATTGTTCCTTATTGAGAGTAGAGTGCAGTGGTGCTGTCATCTTTGTGTGAGATCGCCAGAGCAGTGAGATATAGTCGCCGGAAGTTTCGCCGGAAAACCTTCAAAACCTCCATTAAGCTCCAAGGTAAGCCCGTAGATATATCTAATGACTTGTATAGGTCGTTTCTACGTTCATAAATCGTCATTTGGTTGAGTTTTGTGTTTGCTATGTTCGAATAACTAAGAATCATAAACCTTGAATTTGATGTTAAAAATATTATTTAATGATTCTAAAATGATCTATGAACCTTGTAGAGCATCTCTATATAGTTTAATTGAAGTTCGGTGACTAAAAACGGGTTTTCTGAAAAATGGACCGAGGTTAAAGATAAACAAACAGTAGCTGAAAAACTACTGTCTGGATCGATCACATGCTCTGGATCGATCCTCTGGGAGTTTTTCTTTTAGTTCGATCGATCTAGAGGGCTGGATCAATCCTCCGAAATTTCTGATCCGAAAATTTGTCTGAAAATGCTATTTTTGGGCTCTAAAATCCTATTTTTGATACCAATTGATTATGATCATTATAAAAATTATTTTTCATAATAAAAATGATGTTTTTAACAAATTAAAACATTATGTGATGCATGACGGTAAGTTTGGGTGTTAACACTCGAGACTTGGCTGCTAATTGTTATTAAATGTTAAGTTGAATGATCATTATGGTGAATAATTAATATGGATAATTATGAAGGATAAACTTACTGATTAGAATGATTATTGATGATTATCATGATTAAAAATGAATATAATGGTGATCATGAAAACGGTGTATATTGTTAAGAATATCTAGAAGAACTCTAAGATATACCCACTTGTATAATGATGATGATGATTATTAAGGATATCTATAAGAACTCTAAGATATACCTCCTTGAACAATTCATATTTTGGGGTTAAAACGTACGTACGGGATCTAGACCGGATATCACCCACCTGACAGTTCACTGTTCGGTTTGGTACGTAATCCACATGACTCATAGGGTGGATTATCGATTCTTGTGTTCTGCATTAAACTATTTATAGTTTAAGAGTCTGGTTAGAAATATTTCCTTAGACTAGGAATAGCTAAGAGCTGATTATAAAATGATGTGACCTTATATTAAGAATAATTTAAGAGCGTTATTGAGATATTGAATATCAAATGACTTGAATAAAATATTGAGAACATCATGAATGTTTGAATGATATATTGTGTGCATGATATCAAATGGTTGATTATGAATTGAGATTCAATTTATGTGGATGTTCGATGCTTTAGATATGCTTACTCAGCTTCACCGCTGAGCGTGTAGTGTGTTTTATTTGCTACACGCAGGTAGGCAGAATGAGTGATTGGCATGTTCCTGGCAGCAGAAAGTGGCAAGGTGGTCGTGGTGGATTCATGATTTAAAATGTTTGAATTATATTGTCATGAGACATGATTTAAATCGCTTCCGCATTTTATTTAAACACTTCGCATTTCTATGCAATTATGTATGGGATATTATTTATAATGAATAAAAATGTTTGAAATGTTTTAAATTATCACGATTACCAAATCAATACTTTAGTCCGGAAGGGGCTGCATACCTGGACGAATTAGGGTGTTACATATCCGATCCGGTGTGCTAGAGCTGAGACTTAGGTTAATTAATTTAGGTGCTGGAATACAGTGAAAAAAGGATTAGTGAATGAATTTAGGAGCTGAATTGAAAAAATAGTGGGCGCTAATATATTTCACTGTTTCAATTTCTATGTTACGCGAAAAAAATCAATAATGATGTATATTTATTTTATAATTTTATAATTAAGTGTATTTAAGAGAGTTGGCACAATTTTTTATGTGGGTCGTCTTTTACCTCTCTTTTAAGTGCAGGAAATGATAAAGTGCTAAGTTTTATCATCATACTTGATCATGTGCGTAAGTATGGGTAAAAAGGCTCTTTTCTTGTAGTGATATTTATCTCTAAAACTACTCTCTCATCTCTCACTATTAAAAGGACCATGGGGGAGGCTAATTTCCATATTTTCTCCTACACTACCATTCAGTAGCAGATCCAGAAATTCAGGTAGATGGGGGTACAAATGGTCGGGGCAGCACCCCTGATTTTTTTTAAAAAATAAACAATTTGAAATGATAAAAATAATAAATTTTATTTTAAACATTTATTGAATGTAAAATTTTATTTAATCAGTAATATAAAATTTTATTTTAAACAATAAATTAAATGCAATAAAATACACTTTACTTCAATAAAATTAAACAAAACAATTAAAAACTAGCTTAATTAAATTAGGTTTCATTCATTTTTGTAGGGAGTAAATAATTTAAGATGGGGTCAATCCCAATTTTAGATGGGGGCATGCACCCCAAATCATAAGAATTTATTTTAAAAAAAAAATTAATTTAACACCAAAATTTAGTTGGGAGCATTGGCCCCCAATTATTTCCAAGTGCATCCGTCCCTGCTACCATGTAATTATACTCTCTCACATTACTTAGAAAATACTCCTAGTATTATTTATTTTTTATAGAGCTAGAATGCTCCACCAATGGCTATAATGCCGAGATTAGGTACTTTGTACTATCCTCGATAATAATGAAATCTCCCCATTGTCAACTTGTCATGGTATCACTGGAAAAGGTCTGTGGTTTTTCTCTCGATTTGGACTTCCACGTCAAAAATAGCTTATTCATATTTTTGGTGATTGTTTGACCTATCTATCATTTTGACACAGTAAAAATGATAAATCGATCGAAATAATTAACACTATTAAATATAAAAATAATTTCTATAATATTTTCAAAATATTATTGTATGTAACTAATATAGGATATAGTTACTATTCATATAATTCACGGTTAAAAACTAGACAAAATGACAAATATTTAAGGGTAAGGGTACACAATTTGATTTGTTCACTTTCTTAAACCCAACTATGTAAAATCCCATTTCCGAGTTTCAGGCAGTCGTTAGCAGTATCATAGGTAACGTCGCCCCAATTTTAGCAAAACAGGAGAATAGATCAATACACCCTTGAGATTTCACCACGTCATCTATCCCGTGTCTCATTATCAGATACAGGTGTCGGCTATTGACGGTCCCGATTTCACTCTCACATTGAACTAGGGTTCTTTGCAAACCGCCACCTCACTCAATTCCGTATTTAAAACCGCTGCGGTTTCTCTTCCGCCGGCTTGCGGTGCACTTGTCTCTGCCGTCCTTAATTTCGCTTCAGGTTTTCCCTGGATCTTGCCCGGTGCTCCGGCGTATTTGTTCACCCGTCGTGCTTCCTTTTTCTCCGCTTATCTTATAGGCCCTCGAAGTTCTTTATGGTTTCACTGACATTGTTTCAATTTCCATTCATGTTTGGTTTCTAGGTTTTTTTTCGCGATTCGGCGGAGGAAAGGGAACTGAGAACGGTGTTTGACCGGTTTCCATTTTGTTCCGTGGAAAAGGATAGATTTTGGGAAAATGGCGCAGATTCAGATGCAGCATCAGAGTCCGGTACCTACACCAAACGGAGTTGCTGTGCCGAGTGCTGCCGGAGGCGCAGCCGCTATTGCTGCTTCCGGTGCGGCTGTGGCATCCCAGTTCCAGGCGACATCTCTGTATGTTGGCGACCTGGATTTCACCGTGACTGACTCACAGCTCTTTGATGTGTTTAGCCAGATTGGTCCGGTTGTTTCCGTTAGGGTTTGTCGGGACGTCGTTACTCGTCGATCACTAGGCTATGGTTACGTGAACTTTGCCAATCCTCAGGATGGTCAGTCTTCTTCTTCTTTAATCCCGCTGAAATCTTCCCGGCAATGATTAAATGAGGCACTGCATGTAATTTGGTTTGCATTGTCTGTAAATTTTAGTTAAAGATGGAAGTTTTTTTCATAATTTTGTGGCATTGTCATGTTTTCACGATGTCTTTTTGTAAAAAACTCTGCTTTTGAGTGTCTATAAAAATATGCTAAATATGGGCTATGAAGGCTACTTTGAGTTGCATTTCTTGAAAAAGCTACTTGATTGTCTGCTGGAGGCTCAGACTATCATCTGTCACTGTATTCTATCTTTATATCCCTTCAGGAGGATCACAAAATAGTTCTCTTGTGTTATTACCTAAACTCTCTTCTGTTCTTTTGTTAATTGGTAGTAAATGTCACTAAGTGTTTGGTTTTTCTTTCTAGCTGTGCTTTTAAAACTAGTAATTTGCTATCCATCTTATAGCTTTAATTTCATAAGTTTCTAGGTTTGGACCTGGGATTGTGCTAGCAACACAACCCCAGTATTTTGGTTTTTAGGTCTATAGCTCAATCTTTATCAATGATTTGAAATGTTTTACCGGTAGAAATATCATTTCCCTAAGTACTTTGTATGTTGGTTCTAATTTTCTTATTCTTTCTCCACACTTTAAATTTGCTCAAAATTTCAAGTTGCTGTGTTATCAACCATATCTTCTGTCCCAAATAACAAAACAAAAATTAAAAACACCAACACACGCTGTACAACACTAGGAAAAGTGCTGTGCTGATCTGGTGATATACCAGTGACTGCTTTCATGTAGTTTGGCGTTCCTGGCCATTAGCTGTATGTGCTTTACTGAGGTAATTATTGTGTTATCTTGATGCAGCGGTAAGGGCACTGGAGATTTTGAACTTCACTCCTATCAATAGCAAGGCTATCAGGATCATGTATTCTCACCGGGACCCTAGTCTTCGCAAGAGTGGAACTGCAAATATATTTATCAAGGTGAACAAAGTTGGCAAATATTTATGTTATTGGTACCTCTGAATGTTATATTGGATGAATCTGGAATTAGGTTCTTTTATTGCTCATTTGGTTATATCAGTGTTGTCTTTTTCATCACGTAGAATTTGGACAAGTCAATTGACAATAAAGCCCTGCATGACACTTTTTCAAGATTTGGCAACATACTCTCATGCAAGATAGCAACTGACTCAAATGGCCAATCTAAGGGATATGGTTTTGTTCAATTTGACAATGAGCAATCTGCTCAAAGTGCCATAGATAAGTTGAATGGAATGCTAATAAATGACAAGCAAGTATATGTTGGACAGTTTCATCGTAAGCATGAAAGGGACGCTGCTAATCTTCAAACCAAATTCAACAATATTTTTGTGAAGAACCTATCAGAATCCACAACAGATGAAGATCTAAATAAAACTTTTGGGGAATTTGGGCCAATTACTAGTGCTGTAGTGATGAGGGATACAGATGGGAAGTCTAGGTGCTTTGGGTTTGTCAATTTTGAAAATGCAGATGATGCTGCTCGTGCTGTTGAAGCTTTAAATGGGAAGACATTTGATGATAAAGAATGGTATGTTGGAAAAGCTCAAAGAAAGTCGGAGAGGGAGCAAGAATTAAGAATGAAATTTGAGCAGACGGCCAAGGAATCTGTGGACAAATATCAAGGAGCAAATTTGTATGTAAAAAATTTGGATGATAGCATTGATGATGACAAGCTGAAGGAACTCTTTATCGAGTTTGGCACAATAACATCGTGCAAGGTAACAGCGCTCATGATTTGCTGCTGGCTGTGCATCATTTTGTTCTGCTTTGTGTTGCATCATCTGCTACTTTCAGATTCTGAGTTTTCTGTTGACATTGTTTTGACTTTTCAGGTTATGCGGGAATCTAGTGGAATTAGCAGAGGGTCGGGATTTGTTGCCTTCTCAAGTCCTGAGGAAGCTGCTAGAGCTGTAAGTAATTAATACTTCAAATTGTTATGTTGGGACATGGGTCGAATGCTTGGTATTCCGTATGTAAGAATAATATATAAAACTTTTTATTATTGTTGTACCATACTAGCTTTCTGAGATGAACGGGAAAATGGTGGTAAACAAGCCACTTTATGTTGCACTCGCTCAACGGAAAGACGAGAGAAAAGCAAGGATGCAGGTAATATTCACTTAGATGGATTTACTTGTATGACTAATCTATGTGGATGTGTCAGGTGTGCATATTTTCTCTGCCTTTTGTCTTATTTGCTATGGCTTGCATGCAGGCCCAGTTTTCACAGGTGCGGCCAGTTGCAGTTGCTCCAGCGCTTGCTCCTCGTGTGGCAATGTATCCTCCGGGTGCCCCAGGTATTGGCCAGCAAATGTTTTATGGCCAAGCTCAACCTGCTATGATTCCTCACCAGGTATTACTGTTTTTTATATTAATTAATTGATCAAGAATCTTGCCTGTTATTGTAGTCAATCTCTCAAATGGTGAAAATAATTTCAGAGTTGAGTTTGAACTATCAAACCTGTTAGAGTAATTTTACTCTATGCTTAGAGTTCATAAATCTTTATTACCATTATCTTCTACTTCATTGGAGACATGCAAGGTGTGATGTTAAATAATGACAATCATGTTTTATTTGTCCTGGTTGATGATATCTTTATCAAAGTTGTCTTAAAGTGTTTTTTTGATATTCATTTTGTATTCATTTCATGTTGATGATAATGCCTAATTCCTTACTCATCATTTTTCTAGGCTGGTTTTGGATACCAACATCAGCTCGTTCCTGGAATGAGGCCTGGAGGAGCTCCTATGCCAAATTTTTTCATGCCAATGGTTCAACAGGGCCAGCAAGCTCAGCGTCCTGGTGGCAGACGTGGGACGGGACCCGGGCAACAAACTCAACAACCTATGTCCTTGATTCATCAACAGCAGCAGGTGGGTTTTTCGTTTTAAATGAATCTCTGGTAGTCAAAATTGTCTAATGCTGTCCTGTTTCTTGAATGGTACTTTAATACTAATAATAATAATATTGTAATGATAATAATAATAATAATAATAATACTAATAAAAATAAAAATAAAATTTTCTTTTTGTTTCAAAAGTAATCTGATACAGTATGTATTTGTGTTCAAAGATGCTTCCAAGGGGAAGGATGTATCGGTTCCCCACAAGCAGGAACATGGCAGAGGCACCAAGCCCGGCTGGAGGTCTTCTTCCTGTTCCGTATGACATTGGTAATGCGCATCTTCCCCGCGATGGTTCTATGATGGGAAAACAGCCATCTGTACCCATTACAACCCTTTCAAGTGCCCTTGCAAATGCATCGCCCGAGCAGCAGAGAGTGGTGTGTATTTCACCAGCACATTATTATTATTATTTCTCAGCCTCGGTACCATCTGACATGGTTTTGTTTGTTTTTTCAGATGCTTGGTGAGAATTTGTTCCCGCTGGTGGAGCAGGTGGAGCCAGCGCTGGCTGCTAAGGTGACCGGCATGCTCCTTGAGATGGACCAAACAGAAGTATTGCATCTCCTCGAATCCCCTGAAGCTTTAAAGGCCAAAGTTGCGGAGGCCAAGGAAGTTTTGAGGAATGTTCATCATCAAGCTAGCAGCAGCCCAGCAGACCAACTTGCTTCGCTTTCCCTCAATGACAATGCTGTGTCTTAGGCAGTCCAGGCTTGTTTTTTGATGTCTGTTTTTTTTTTTTTTAAAAAAAAATCTATCTGCTTGGCAGTTAAGAGATTTCTTTTTTGCTCTAGTCCCAAACATGGTTTGTTATAATTTTCTAGGGATTCAATGTGAAATTGGGATTTGGCCATTTCTAATTAGATGAATCTTCTTTTTGCTCTGGACTCTAGTACAACTTTACCAGAGACGTTCTAGGCTCTTTAAGCCAATTTTATGCAAGATTTGGTAGGGGCAGTGCCATGACATTGTGCAACAAAACCAATGCCATCCAATTTCATGGACTCGTTATCTTACACTTTGGAATCCTGTACTATGCACCCCATGAGTCAATACTTGTGGGAGTTGTGGATGTCTTTATTCTTATTTTTCTCTTTTTAATAAATTAGCCACATTCCTCTTAATCTATAATCCGGGGACATTTGGAAAACTCCACGTATTACTAATATAGTGGTACCTCGTTGGAAGTACAACACACCTTAGAAAAAAATGTTGGTTTTAAGCGGCTTTCGAATATCTGATACTTCTTTTTTATCTTAGAGAAACTTTATAAGAAAACTAGTTTTTCACCCCGGGATCATGAAAATTGTTTAAATTTTGATTAATAAAAAAAGAATTTTAAATAAAGAATTTGAAAAACATAGTATATATATTGATATTGAATACAGATAACATATTTGTATACCATATGTAATAATATTATTTGTGATGTTTAAATTTAATGTAGACAATTTTTTGCCAAAAATCTCCGCAAAAAACAATTGTCTTTCCAACAAAAGGTTTGGACTCACTACCAGTGTTTTTCACAGGCAAATTGCTTCAAAGCACTACTTATGAGTTATTCGTGTTTCATCTCATATTATAAGCCTACTCTAATAAGTGGACTCTCTTGATGAATATTGCACATTAAATACTTTTTCCGTCTCATATTTTTCTTTTCACTTTTTTTTCGGGCCGTTCCATTTGATTCTTCCGGTTTTCTTAGTTGGCAAATAAAATTTATTAAAAAGACTAATTTACCCTTGTTCATCTTCTCTTATTTGAAACCAATGAAACCAGCCCCACCCACGGCCCACCCACTCCACCTCCCCCCTTTTCTTTTTCTTTCTATTCTTTCTTTCTTCAATCTGTTTCTTCCCCCATTTCCTTTACACTATGTTTGGTTCAGGAAATTTGGAAGAAAAAAAAAAGAAAATAATTTTCTCTCATTTTTACTCACCAAAATGGGAGGAATTTGATTTTTCCTCCTCTTAATATATTTTGTCTTTTCATTTCCTTTTCTTTCCACTTTTCTTTTCCTTTCCTCTCTATCTCATTTTCTTTTCCATGTGTTTGTGTTTTTTCTTCCGTAAAATACACCTCCTTTCTTTCTTTCTTTCTTCGATCTGCTTCTTCTTCTTCTTCTTCTTCTTCTTCCTTTTCTTTTCTTCCTCTTCTTCTTTTCATTTTCTTCTTCTACCCTAGCTTCTACGTTCCTTCTTCGTCTCACCCCCTCCAGACCTTGTTTTTTCCTAATTTTTGTCAAATTGCAAAGATAATTGATCAAATCGCAAGAAGCTTTTGAAATAACAGGCATGAAAAAATTAAGTATGAGTTCATACTGATGCCCAATGCCTGCTCACAGCTTTGAGTTCTTTAAAAAAACATATGGTAAGTTTTTTGGTTAATATCCATATAGTTTTGTGTATATACTCTTTCAGGTCAAGGAAAGCAGCTTTGGGGAGAGAGCACGTTGTGTCAAGTATAGTAAAATTGGGATTCGGATTGCTTGAGGGTGTAGAGGAGAAAAGCAGCGAACAAATCAAGTATGATTGTATTGCGGGTCCGGTGGAATTAGGTCTTGAAGTGTTAAAAAGTTTGTTTGATCTTCATGATGGGGTGAGAAATGAGGTAAGGATGTTTCTGAAATTAGAAGTGCTGGCCATCCCTTTCCTTGTGAACCTTACCTGTAGCTTACATTTTAATTTGAACTTTTATGCTCTGACACTAGGTTTTAGAATATTCCTCATGTTGAAGATTTTGTAAAATTTATCACCTAACTGTCCCTTAACAGATAATACAGCAATGCAATTTACAGATCCTTTCCTCAAAGCCAGGGGTGATGCCAATTATACGGTATAGTAATTATTCCTCGCATCCATTATCTATTCTTACCTTTCCTGTTTAGTATGATGAGCATAGTGTTTCATTGCTTTTCTTTATGTTCTTTTGTAGGTTGCTTGGAGATCTAGTTCAGAGTCATCCGCATCCACTACTACAACGTGCTTCAGATCTCAAAAAGTTATTCGAAAATTTCACATTCTCGAACTCTGAAATGCAGCCTTGTCCCAAGAACCCATTCTGTGTCGAAAACTTTGAAAAAGAAAACCCTCCTGGCAGCTATTGACTTTAGTTTATCATCTTCTGCTAGACCCGAATCGTCATAGCCATCCCCATAAGTCATCGCCAATTATCGTCAAGAAGCAATTGAGGTGAATTTGTATTTCTTTTGTTGTTAGGGTTCAATTACATCTTTATTTCTGTTTTTTTTATTAATTTGGATTCAATACGTAGATTCATTGTTATTAAAACTTGGGGTTAATTTTTGATTTGAACGTGGTCTCTATACTCTCTAATGGGTGAGAATGTGAACAATTTTCAGACAACCTTCCACATTATCGAAGAACTTAACATTTCTGGTGCCCGAGGTAAATTTATCTTCTTCTTCTTTTTTTTATTTTAATGTTTCATGTTCTCTAAACTATTCTCATTTTTCAATATCTATTCTGTTTGCACAGAAATATTTTTCGATGTAGCAGAGAATGCCCCGAATGCGGGACGAGGAGATAGAGGTAGAGGGCGCGGCAGGGGCCGCGGAGGAAGAGGAAGAGGTTCAGGCGCCGGAACCTCTTCCTCTTCCCCCGCGGCCCCTGCCGCGCCCTCTACCACTACCTACTCGTCCCGCATTCGTGACATTCTCTGCTACATCGAAAAATATTTCTGTGCGAACAGAAAAAATATTGAAAAATGAGAACAATTTTGAGAACATGAAACATTAAAATCAAAAACAGAAAAAGGAAGAAGATAAATTTACCTCGCACACCAGAAATGTTAAGTTCTTCGATAATGTGGAAGGCTGTCTGAAAATTGTTCACATTCTCACCCATTAGAGATTATAGAGACCACGTTCAAATAAAAAATTAACCCCAAGTTTTAATAACAACGAATCTGTGTATTGAATCCAAATTAAAAAAAACAGAAATAAAGATGTAATTGAAGCCTAACAGCAAAAGAAAACAAGTTCACCTCAATTGCTGCTTGACGATAATTGGCGATGACCTGTGGGGATGGCTATGACGATTTGGGTCTAGCAGAAGATCTAGAATGAGCAAGATGATAAACTAAAGTCGATAGCTGCCAGGAGGGTTTTCTTTTTCGAAGTTTTCGACAAAGAATGGGTTCTTGGGACAAGACTATTTTCAATCCTCTTTACTCATCAATGTTTTGTGGCCTCTGATTAAATACAGTCGAGATCTTCAGGCCCTGATTAATATTTATAGTTTCAGTAGTTTGTACTTTGCAAGTATGATAGATGACCAACCATCAAGGACTTCGAAACAATATCAAAAGAAGGTTTTTTGGACTGAATGAAAGTGGGATCTTGTTGAAGTCAAAATTTATTTTCCCTGTTATTTGAAGACATTGAGGTGTTCTACAATATACAAAATTATATGTGTCCTACTCTAAACTTGGCTGTCTAATTGATTAAAACATTTCTGTAGCATTCTTTTTGTGAGATGCATCCCATCTTTTTCATTCTTTTTTGCCTTCATTTATCTCTTTAATGATGCAGGATCATACTATACTGGCCTTACAAAAGGCTACATTTAGGTAAGAATATTCTGTTCATGTTTCTGCGGCTGCTGCTATTGTTGAATTAATTTTAGCAGAAAAGCTGTCTGAATAAAGTGGATCAGTCTCTCTTCAAAAATCAAGCAGCGAAGCCGGCAGTAGCAAGAAAACTGAAGTTTATCTTATAACTGGGGCTGGCCTTTTTCAGGTGCTTAGTGGTTTACTGCGGAGATGTCTTTGTCAGCAGGTATTATGAATGGCTAAATAATTTCTCTCATTTGACTTATAATCAGAAAAAGAGTTAACTCACTTTACCACAGGCAAAGAGGCAAGAGTCAGAGAGATTGTGTACCATGGATTGTTGAAGCTGGTGTTGATAGATCCCTTGGTTGCTGAACATGTTTTAAATTTTATCTTGCCCCACTTTCAACGATTTCTCACTAGGTTGTCGCCCATTATCGTCATCTGTTTTGCTTTTTTATTTTATGATCAAGAAAAAGTTTAATAATGATCTACTTTTATGCATCTTGTTAAAGTCTAAAGCTATTTGTCTTTGAAATTTTCATTTCACATTCACTCATAATGATGTGATGAATTTTTAGGATGCGGAGCTGCTTGATATTATCAATTGTATTAAAATTGAGAATGGCAAAGTCTTTATTGAAGAGCTATTTGACTGCCTTGTGTCCTGCACCAGTTGGATGCTGCAGCTATTTCATCAACTTGCCAGTAATCCTTCAGATTCATTGGATTTGCCTGGCTTCTCTCTTACCCAAGAGAATGAGGTTGTTTTAAATCATGCTTATAAAAATCTCCAAAATATGATCAATAATTGATAAAGGCCTAAAACTGATGTAGGCAGGAAGAACCTTGGCTAGCGGGAGCTTATCCAATGGCTTGTGAATGATCAGGGATCTAATCAAAACCGAAAGACTCTCCAGTAAAAATGGGTGAAAAACACCAGAACTTACAACACATGCAGTCTTCTTGTCTCCATCTAAAAATGTTTTTGGCATCAGTCTACAATGACATTCCTTGTGTGTGTGTGTGTAGGGGTGGGCGTGAAATCCGTTCCCATTGGACCGTTCTGAAAAATCTCGGATCCGTTTTGTAATTGTACCGATATATTGGGATATATTTTTTTGTCCCGAACCCGTTCCGTCCCAATATCAAATGGGACATGAGCGTGACAACTTAAATTTATACCGATCCGTCCCGTTTCATCTACTCTACTAATATATAATACTAATTCTAGTCCAAAATCCAAACACACTCATTCTTAAATTAATTAGTTATTTAATTAAATTAACTTCATGAGCTTGGAATTTATTTGGACCCGTTTCACTCATTGTTTTTTGTTGGATGGCTAGATGTTTCTTTTTTTGAATGAAATTTCACCCTCTTCCCCTTTTTATATTTGCGATTAGGACAAAGTAGGACGACCCGAATCCGTCCCGTTTTATTCCGATCCCGAATTTTATGGGACAAACCGGGATAAGATTGTAATCCGAACCGTTCCAGACCGTTTATATATAACGGGACAAGACGTGGGGCAATCTAAAATCCGGACCGTCCCGATCTATGCCCACCCCTATGTGTGTGTGTGTGTATAATATGTGTGTGAGAGAGATTTATGTTTCTGATCTCTTTTTATTTGTGTTGAAGTATTTCTTTACTCTCTTTTCAATATTGCGGGTTGGATTAGGCATACTTGAAGATTTTGAAGCGAAACATACATTGGAATCTGGACAGGTGCCAATGTGCTATTTGATTTTTTTGGGAATTATTGAAGTGAACTTGAATACCACCTTCTTTGAGCTGGAGAAAGCAAATGATGTCAAAAAGGTTGAATTGGTGAAAGAGCTTTCTCGTTTGGTGTGCCGAAGAAGATGCAACTCATGCAAGTGAATATATGCAGAAGACAGCTGCAAAAAGAGGACTTATGCGCTCTTTGAGTATCTGTGGTTCACATAAGTTGTAATCAAGCTGCACTAATATTCAAGAGAGATCCCCACGCTTGAAAACTTCATACATTCACCAGCTACTGCAGGGTGCTATTAAACAAATTAATGGCGGATTTCAGGATTTATTATCTGATGATGGTGCATCTGTGCTGTTGGAAACTCTATCTTTTGTCATGAAGATGTGCATGCGGCAATTGGACTTCATTTCTTTGGGGAAAGATGATCCATTGAAGACCGATTTATATCTCCTCGATAATTTTTGTTTGTTTATGAAATTTCATTAAGTATTTGATAAAATAAAATATTTTTGTCACCTCTTATTTTGTAGAACTTTTGACGTAGTTTTTATTTCTTATCGATATACCGATTTATAAATGAAATAATTTTAAAAAATGAGATATTTCTCCGCGTAAACCCCAATTTGTAATCGAATTGGGGACGGAAGGAGTACTTTTTTTATCTTAGAGAAACTTTATAAAAAGTTTATTTAAATGACGTAATCTAGTAACTACTATAAGGATAAAATATAGAAATATTTACACTAAATAGCACTAAAACTTAAGTCATTTCTTTAAATACGACTTAAATTGTTTTATTTTCTAAGTAGCACTTAATAATGTCCATAATGACCAGTGATGGTGAATATTTACTTGAATAATGACTAATACATAAGGGGAAATGACGTGTATAACACTAAAACAATTCCCCTTTCTTTTAATAGCACTAGTGTTAGGAAGCCACATGTTTTATTGATGCAGGGGTGAGGAAAAGACTATAATGACCTTCACTCTTATTTTTGTAGATTTGTACAACCGCACATCCTCCATTGTGAGTAATAACATGCCTCATGAAACATGTGGACAGTGTGTGAGTTAATGGACCTAGGACAGTGTGTATGCATGAGCAAAGTAAAGGGCAGTGTGTACATTAATATAAAATTAGGGATAGTTTGTAATCACAGCCCCCCTGATGGACAATGTGTGAGATATGTGTTGGGGACAGTGTGTGGGTATGCCCAAAGTCAGGGTCAGTGAGTCAAGCACATAATTGGATATGGTTTAGACAGTTTAAGGATTCCCGAAAATTAGGGATAATTAAGGATTTGTTTTCCAAAAATAAGTAAAAATTAGAAGGAATGATTTTTAGTGGGCTTAGGTTACGGAAGGGTAGGCTAGGTAGTATGGATGAAAATTAGTGCTAGTGAGAGAAAAAATTAGTAGTGGTGTTATTTAGGTAAAACAACTATGATTTGGTGCCCCTTGGGTAAATTTCACAATACATAATGACTAAAAGTGCTATATTGAGAAGAAAAAAACATGTAGTGCTATTTAGGGAAAGTCATTATGTTTTAGTGCTATTTAAGTAAATTCCTCTAAAATATATTCCAAAAACTTCTTTCCTTTTCTTTTTTTTGTCCTACAAAATGAGTCTCTTTCTATTAAAAAATCACTTTTACTCATACTAATTCTTAACCTAACTATCAAATCATATTTGTTTATTAATAATCTACCCATCACATCCTACTTTTAACCATCACATCAAATTTTTTTTTGAAAAGTCACCAAAAAATATTCCTCTCCTAATTTTTTTAAAAGTCAAAATAGAAACTTACATTTGAAAAATTGATTTTTATGAATGATTCCTCATTTTATTAAAAGATTTTGTCAAATAAGTTTTAACAAAGGAACTCAAGACAAACAATGTCTCTAATTAAAGAATGTTGTCAAACTATCTTCAAGAGTTAACTGAAAAAAATAAGAATTTTGTGCAATATCGCTATCTCATAAATCCTATCCTATATCATATCCTATCATATACATACATACATACATACATATATACATATATATATATACACACACACACACACACACATACAGATACATACATACATACATACATACATACGTACATACATACATACATACATACATACATACATATATATATATATATATATATATATATATATATATATATATATATATATATATATATATATATTGTTAGAATA